CGTCATGCCATTTTCATTAAGAATTTACTTTCCTGAGCAGAAATTCTAAATTGCTTTTTATATCTTCAAAGTCACCTTAACATTTGTGCTTTACAGTTTTATTTTTAAAGATATCCTCACTCGTACAGCTTCTCATTCAGTAGGGTTTTTTTTTTCATGTTTTGCTTCTATATTACATATTTTCTCAGTATACCTAGAGTACACATTGGAATATTTGTGATGCAAAATTAGAGAGATTCAGTGAGCGCTGTAAGAAATGATTTGTGCATTTGGTTTGTTCTGACAACCCCATGAAATACCAGTATTTTTAAAGCAAGTGTATTCATTGGTACTTCTTATAAATTCAGTGTGTGCACGTTTGTATGAGTTTCAGGTGTAAGTGATTTAGTGTAGAGCAAGTTCTGGACAGTGGGAAAGGCTGTCTCTGTTTATGCTCTTATTTGAGATTAGAAAATACAACTGCATCCTTTTTCTTTTAAAGAGAATTAAGAAAACAATAAAAATGATACAGAGTTTCAAAACAAGATGATAGGAAATTAGCAATTTATAATATATTGCACATTACTATCTTCAGAATAGTTGCTCAGATTAAAGAAACATGAACTTGAAGCTTTTATAGATGAATAAATGTTACTAGAGACCATATGTGAAGTAAATAATGTGAAATAAATCAGACTTGCATATGTAAACATCGTATTTTCTCCCTAGTAAAAGAAACTGAAAGAGTAAATAAGATCCAAAAGGTCCAGTAGATGCTGTGAAAGGGCAAGAAACTGCTCAAAAGGAAAGAACATTGGGGATGGTGTGAAGGAGAAAAGAGAAAATACATACATATATATGCACAAAATAGCTAGGATAATAGTACTGCTAATTGTATTTCATGGAAAGGAAAAGTGCTTATATTGTATGCATTTGTTTTTGTGGTTTGTTCGATTTAGAATTATTTCACAATTATTTAACAATTCCTAGCATACTGTATCACAAATTGGAAACTGTACATGATTCTCGTGATATTTAGATCTTCTCCAACTCTGTTTCTATGTGTGATTTTTCTCTTTGCACGTGTTGCACATGTTAAAAAATTTGCACTCCTCGTATCTACATGGCATAGGGACCTTCTTGTACTTTCTTTGTTTGTGGTACTGGGGATCGAACTGGTGACCTCATGCTTGCCAGTTAGGCGCTTATGCCGCTGAGCTAAATCCCCAGCCCTTCTTGTATTTCCAATTCAGCTAATAAGAAAACATTTTTTTTGTTTGTGCTAGTTTCACTGATAATCTGCTAAACACTGGTCCTTAATTGGCAACCTTTCAGATTTCTTTGTAGATTATTTTGTGTCCTGACCTTAAGATAAATTATTTGGGAGCTACATTTACTTGTGCTTTGTGTTCTGACTGTGTATCATGTAGCTTCACTGTATTGTCATTGTTTCAATCAGTGTTAAAACTATGAGAAGCATTATTTCCTTTATGCAGTTGATCTTGCCTTCCACAACAGTAAGTGTTATTATTTTCAAGATTTACATCTTGATTCTTTTATCATTCAAGCATAGTTTATCTCTTTCATCTTTTTGTCACTTTTTGTCTGTCTTGCTCATGTTGTCCTGTTGTAACACTTGAATATTTGTGGAGACAGTGGATATTCTCAACTTAGTTCTGATTTTAAAATAACTCATGTACGTGTCCTCATTGTTTGTAGCACTAGTGCATTTTCTGATGTGTTTATCAAGTTATTATACTATTTTGCTTTATCATATACCTTTCACAAATAATTAACAAAAATTGGGTTTTAGAAAATATGTCAAAAGTTGATGAATGAGATCAGGTGTTTTGTGTGTGGGTATGGTGAGTTTCACCACAGTTTTATACTGACACACCCTTTGATGAGATGAAGAAACACAGTTCATTACTGTTTACACAGGTCTTTCCCGTGTGTGGTACTTAGATTGAACCCAGGACATCAAGTTGGCTAGGGAACTGTGCCACCACTCAGCTGCATGCAGACGTGGGACACTGCTAATATCATCTTGCACTTTGCTAGGTAATTTTATCCAGGATTTGAAAGTCAGCTTGCATGTGCATGATGGGCCTTTATTTGCCTTTCCTTATTAACATGTTCTCTAGGTTGAGGTAAAGATTGTATTAACCTGATGATGTAAGGTTCTTAAATTATTTACGAGTTTTTTTTATGACAGACACTTAATGCTATGCTCAGATGAGTGAATGCTTTTTATTCTTGTGTTCATAATTGTATGTTTCCCCTGCAGAATAAATATTTTCATCCTGAGCAGTTGGTACATATACAAATGGATTCCTGTTTACTCTGAAGAAATTCAATAAATCAGTGTGAATTTTGGATCATCATTTGGTTCCTTTCTAACATTTTAGTCTCTGCCGTTCATGTCTTTCATGGGCATTTTTGTAATTTTATACAATTCTGACAATATTTCTACCATCTAAAATTCATCAAATGGTAATTCTGTTATACTTTTAATTTCTTTTAAAACACCCTCTTTGGAAAGGTGCAGTGGGCTGCACGTGCAGTGCGGTCCTCCATGAGGCTTGTCCGATGGATCAAGCACTGACGGCCAGCGCGGCTCACCCTGTAGTGAGACGCTGTGCAGAAGCTGACGTGCCCGCTGGCCCCGTATCGCTTCTTTTCAGTTTTTGTTTTCCTGTTGCCTGTTTCTTTTACACCATCTTGATGATATTTTTCAGTATTTTGAGACTTGTTTCATTAATCTTTGTTTTTGACGAAATGTTTTTCTACATATATTTCTTAAAAGCAATATATATAACTGACAGTCTTTTTTTCCCCAAAACATTGGCATTTTATCCTTAAATCATTAGTTAATTCCACATACTTGCATATTCATTTCATGACTTTCTATTGAAACTTTATTTCATAGTGTATTTTTCAGTCAGGTGTGCTGACTCACACCCGAAATCCAGCACTTGTGACTCAGCTGCGAGACGACAAGTGCAGGTTTGAGACCAGTCAGGCTGTGTAATGAGTTCAGGGCCAGTCTGAGCTACATAGTGAGACCCTCCCTAAAAACAGTTTGCATGAGAAGAATGTGAGAAACTAATAGAGAAACTCAGTGGTCAGCTGCGTGCTCAGTGTGACTGAAGTCCACTATTTCATCCCTGTAGTGAGAAAGCAAACAAATTACAGCTGTAAAGCTGTACCTTCTGCCATGGTGGTTCTTCCGTATTATACTCTGTATTATATTTATATTCTGTAATTGAAAGAAAATGTCATATGCATAACAAATTTTTTTGTAAATGTTTATTTTTGGTGAAACATATATTGCTTGTTTTATAAATAGTCTATATTTACTACCTCTTGTGTGAATGTTTCTAAATGCATTAAAATAGTCTTTAATTGTATTACTGAGGTATGGTACATTCTTCACTAAAGCCACCTTTGTGTGTATTTTGATTGAGTACATCTGTTTCTATTTTAGTGAAGATGTGCCATTTACTACTTGAATTTCAGGGAAATTTTATCAGATATTTGCAATTATTTGCTGGTTCAATACCAATACAGTCTCCTGCTGAATGACCCGATACTGAACTTTACATTGTGTCCTCTTGCTTTAGTCTTCCAGGGTGGAGTTTGCTGGTGAACAGTGTAGCTGCCTTCTCCCTTTACTGTTATTCTGTAGGAAGTAAGATGGTGTGTGGCATGCTGAAGTACAGATTAAAAATAAATGAAAACATGGAAGTTATCAGTATAAGCAGGAACTCTCAGCAAATACATTTTTAAATACTGAAACCAAACGTGTAGAACATGCTGACTCTGAGAAGTAATTTAGCCTGCTATCCCGCGCCTGCTGCAGCACTACAAATGCGGGTCGTTTCCTGCAGTCGGCGTTGACAAAACCCCAATGCTCACATCTGTGGCTCAAGAACTTAATACAGTGTCTCTGTTTAGCCTTCTCTACGATGAACGTCAAGGCGATTGTACCTGTGTAGATGAGAAAAACGACAGTGCACTGCCTACTTAGTTGTTCAGAAACATAGTTATTAAACTATCATTTGGTTGGTGTCACAGTTTAAATGTCTGCACTGTGTCTTCACCCTGTCCTGGAGCCCAGCGAGCAGCAGCCCCGCCTGCTCAGAAGCACCGAGCCCTGTCCCAGTCTGTCCTCTGCGGCCTCTGGGCTTTCCCAGGGCAGCTCCCTTCCAACTGTGTCCAGTGTCCTCACACATGGTGGCAGCCTCTTGTGCCTCTGCTCTGCATCACCTGTGTGTCCTGGGCGCCCCAGAGCAGCTTGTTCGTTCCCTCTGCTGCTCTCCGTTCTTGCTCATTGCCGTGGGCTGTGCCCACTATTTGCCTGTTTGCCCAGCTCTGCACTACAGTACACATTTTAGCCTCTGTGGCAGCGTCTACCTTGTGGCTGTCTCTTGGGATGTGTTTGTTCAGTTATGGTGACAACAGTGGGTTTCTGTGTTGCCTTGTGAGTCTAAAATCATGCAAGATTCTCCCTGCTCCATTTTCCCTCACGTGATAAATACATTGAGTAAATACAGACAGTTGGGTTACTTAGAAGCCACTTACAAATTGATAGTTTTGGGAGTTGCTTTGTGTGAATGATGGGACTGGCACAGAGAGTGAGGCGAGGGTTCTCCCTGCACTCAGACTCTGCCCATGTGTGACGGCAGGGCTTGTCAGTCAGAAGTCCAGGAGCAGATTTAATTTCTCACTGTAGCCCACAGCTCTCGGTGAAAGCAAACCTCTTCTTTATTTACTGACCATGAGATATCTTGTGCAGAAACAAAAAAGAACTGAGAAAATACTTGTGTGTTTTAGAATTGCAGAAACTTCCAGGACACGTTCCAATGTGACTGTGCACCTTGTAAATTAAGTAGCTGTGAATGTTGTACACATCGTCAGCAACCATTGTCAGCAACAAATTGTAATCTGGTGGTGGAATTTTTGTTGTGAAACATTTGGCTTGTGACAGATGGAAGGCATACTTTTGTAGCTACCATTATGTGACATGTGTCATTCTAAAAAGTTGCAAGTTTGTGTTTTGAAGATGAAACAGTCATAATTGCTGAAATGTGTTTTTTGAGGTTTTTTTACGTAGAGAAAATTGTATAGAATAAACTGTCATAGAATCTGGAAAAAGTGGAGCTAAGATGCACGGTTTGCTGCAGGGGATGGATGGAGGAGGCCCAAGTTCGCCAAAACTCTGGGGAGACAGGCAGGTAAACAAGAGTGACATTTGGTTAGCATCTGAATCAACTGTGGACTGGTTTACCTGTGTAAATAATACTCCTGTTAATCTTTATTTTCATTCATGTGTCTTACAGTTGTTGGATTTGGAAAATCTTCCATATTTTCACTAACAAATTGAAACTCAATGTGTTTATTTATTTATTATTATTTTTTGTTCTTTTTCATTTTTATCGTTACCAGGGATCGAACTTACGACTGCCTGATTGCAAGGCAGGCACTTATGCCGCTGAGCTAAATCCCCAGCCCCCATTCAATGTGTTTATAATTTGAAACCTGAATTTTGAGATATTTATAATTTTAGATGGTAAAACTAGCAGGTTACCTCAAATTGCTATCAGACTTATAAGTATATCTGAACTTTGTTTTATTTGATTTTTTATTATCTTCTTTGTCCTGTTTCCAGTACTGTATAATCTTGCTGGTGTTTTCTCCTTTTTTTTTCTATTGCATTTTATATGGTTTGTTTGCTGTCTTTTCCTAAGACTTTCAGTAGACTTGCATCCAAATATTGTGTGGTTTTTCAGTGTTGGTCTTACGTATTTACTGGTAATCTAAACCTGTCTCTGAAGCACACTGTTGATTCAGACTCAGTTCTGCACCTCAGGCCAGTCACAGAGCTTCCTCTTCTCTCTGACAATTCATGCCATTCATTCATAATCAATAGTTCATTTTTTTCCTTTTATTTTCTTTTGAAACCAGGCCTCACTATGCAGTTCAGGCTGCCCTTGACCTCACTCTGTACCTTGAATTTGCCCTGATCCTCCTGCCTCAGCCTCCTGAGTGCTGGGATTACAGGCACGCCCCACTACACCTGGCTGTAATCAATCATTCTAACAATGTAGATTTTTGATGTTGTCAGTTTGGATTTAATTTCTTGATTATGTAATAGAATCTGCAGCAGTACATTCATTTCATTCATTCTCTTCAGTTGGGTAACTTACCTTGTCTTTTCTAATGTCTAAATCTTTACTGAAGTTTTCTCCAGATACCATTCTCTTTCCTGAAGGTTCTTGCTCTCTGGTTGCCTCCACCAGTCTTTGAATAATTAACATAGTTGCTCTACTGTCTTTATGTATTTATTTCGTGTTATTTTCAGATCTATTTTGCTACAATATTTGTCTCCTTCCTGAGTCATATTTTCCTCTCGTTTGTGGATTTGTTGCTATTGTTTATTGTCGTTTAGTCTAAAGAGGTGAACATCAACATTGTATTGTCCTAGGCCAGCTTCTAGGGAGGAAGACTACTGTGGCTGGAGTTCTGTGCTTCCTGTTTTCCCAAGCCAGGATTTAGGCTTTGCAGAAGTTTGTTTTGTTTTTGTGTTTTTCCAGTGAAAACTCTGAATTTTCAAAATGGCTTGTTTTTTTGTGATCCCGTTCTCACAATAAGGAAACAGTTTATTTTTTTCTGATACACACTGTTGGAACTTGCAATAGTTCATGGTCAAACCGAGTCATTTTTTTTTTAGATCTTGTAAAGTTGAGTGAAGGGAGTCTTTCCTCTCCAACTCCCTTCACAGGTTTTCATCAGGACACTGACAGTTTGCCTGCATTTCTTTTGCTCTTGGTTTCCTGTCAGAGAAAATTACGTTTCTGTCAATCTGCATCCTCTTTTTTTCACTTCGTAAATAACGGATCTATTTCATCATGAAGGGTTTTGAATATTAATTTGTTAGCCCTTCTGTTATTTATAAAGGCACGATGGTTTATGTGTCATCCCAGCTAACCTGGAAAGCACAGTGTGTGAGCTGCTCTCTTGATGCTTATGGACAGCATTTAATGCTCTGCTCTCCTTCCCTGTGCCCCATTTGAAAGTGATACAATCAAGATGCTGGGTGAGTCTGCAGCCCCAGCCTCCTCCTCCTCCTCACAGCGTGGGGACCAGGATGGGGCTCAGAGGTGCTGCCCAACAGTTCCAAGGAGGTGCAAATGGGGGAGCATGAGTGCCCTCTTCCCACCAGAGAATCAGTACTGCCACGTCCAGATGCTGGGCTTCTGGACCCACACTGACCCCTAGTCCTGCTCATGGTCACCTTGTCAACTGTTCAAAGTGGAGACAGAAACTCTGAGACTGGCTTGATCACCAGGGACCAGGCCAACATCATAAACATGGAAGAGTTATGGGGCTTGTGGTCAACAGTGGCCAGTTTAAATGATAACAAGAGAAGCTACAAATATTTTTGAATTTACAAATACGATGTGTATGACCCTTGATGCCCAAGGATGTAAATTTGTAAATTAGTTGTCTTGAGCGCCATCTGTTGTCACAATTTAAAATGACGAGCCAGGCATGGTAGCACACATTGCTAATTCCAGCACTCAACGCTGAAGCAGGAGGATTGAATGTCAGCCTAGGTGACATAGTGACTCCCAGGTGAGGCTGAACTGTGCAGTGAATCCCTGTATATAATATAAAAATAAAATAAAATGGTGAATTGAGTCTCATGCTGAAAAGGATGAGATGCCTTTTCCCAAATGTACAGATAAAGTGTCTGGACATTATTCTGTGCTCCTTCCCTATAAAACCTGCAAGAGATTTTATAACTGAACAGCCTGAAATAGTGAAAGGTGGCCAGTCATAGAAAATGAGAACTGCTAAATTTAAACACAGAGAAAACATTCTTCCCATTGATTTTGAAAACGTCTGAATGTTGGAATCAAGTAGAAAGGTTAAGTTATGTGTATGTAAGTTTGGGTGGAAGTCTAATAAAAGAGGCAGGGCTCTGAAGCAGCAGGAAAAATCCCTCATCTGAGCCAGGGGTTTCAAATAGAAGCCATGTCTCAGGTGATGCGAGCAGTGCCCTCTGACCCGTCAGTGTCTGTGATTCAGGGCATTCATTCTGCCTGCAAAGTCTCATGTCTTAGCCATGCTGCCCTGTATCCTACAGCCTTTTGTCCCACCCCATTAGAATGGCAGTACTCCCTCAGGGCAGCCAGCAACATTACCAAACAAGTGACCATTGTCCCAGCTGGGTCATTAAGTCTGAGTACCCTGTACCAGTTCATCCTAACCCTGTTCCTATCTGGACAGTTAGCGATCAGCTCTCCAGCAAGCCTTCCACATTGGATAAAATGAGCCTGAAGTCCAAGGCAGAATCGTCCCCGATTTGCAGCTGGTGCCGGCTGACCAACGCCAGTATGGAAACCTGAGCACATCTGGGCTACAGCAGCACGGTGGGTTAAGCCTTCTCCATTGTAGAGGGGGCAGGACATAGCATCTTTGGAGAACTGCAGGTTGGTAATCACATGCAGCTGCTTCAGAATTGCTGCAGTGCAGTCTTCATCCTCAAGCACATTTACTGATAAGAGGTGTGTGGGAAAAAAGGGTCACTCTTCCTGGTTACTGCACATAATAGCATCAGAAGCTGGTGCCGTATTGAACAACCTCAGGAGTCACCCAGGAGCTGGTGGAAATTATGGTACCCACAGTTTGATCAGTGAGAGTTTGTGTGTCTAAAGCTGTTGATCCCTTTAGTTTAAATGCCAAAAACCTCAAGAATTTCCAGCTTGTTGAAGATGTACAGGAAGCAGTTAGTGTTCCATTGCAAAACCTCTTGCAGCAAAGTTTTGGGCCACTGCTGTTTTGACCACCTGCACTCCAGGGAGTTAGTGTGCATGCTGAAGAACACCTCCTTACAGGTGCCAAAGTGGGGATGTCACTAATAAACTTCTTATTGAAATGTTGCATGAAAAAAGAGCAGAAGCACCTAGGAGCACTGCATTAGGAAGAAAATGAGACGGAGTGGAAGGGTGAGAAAAGGAGGAAAAAAGTAGTCTGCATTTCACCAAGAAACACTCATTAAAAACTTGGTTTAAGGTTACTCAATTTCAGAAATCACAGTAATCAGGCACTTTATAACAAATAAATGATGGATCCAGGTATTTGAATTGTAAACTGAATTAAAGGCTTCAAATCTTCAAAGGATCCATAGGGAAGACAATCTAAGGGACTAGATTGGACCCACAGATGGATTCCATCACTGTCAGAATAGAAATGGACAAACCCTTGGGCATTTCAGCTGTTCTGTGCGGTGAGGAAATGGGGGAACTAGTTTGAGCTATTAATTAGGCTTGTACGGGGAGTTTGACATTACACAGTACTTCCATGATGAAGCCGAGCAACAGCTCTCAAGGATGGGTCATCTATACCCAGAACAGCTCTGCCCTCTTGCTCCAAAGGCCACAGCCCCTTCTGGCCCAGGAACATGGAAACTTTGGAGTACCCATGGCCAGACACACCCAGCAATAGCTCCACTAGATCGTGAGTTCTGAATGTCTGTGCTGTAGACCTGCAAACTGTAACAATGGCAATCTCTTAAGTTCTCCAACTTGCCATTTTAAATATGTTCTGCATTATTTTGTCCTATGTACTAGATGAAAAATGGTAGTATTCCTTCTCTACAATATATTATTAATATTCAGGGATATGACATTCAATTTTAAAGCAAACTGTCCATATCTAAAGGAAGTAAGGTTATGTCTGGTACCATTGGTGCAACATGCCTTTGGGATTGTTGACTTTCGTACTATGACATACTACACCTGTCTTTTTAATCCTCAAAGTTTGTATTCATTTTAAAATGAGACAGTAAGATGAATATGGTGGTACACGCCTGTAATTGTAGCACTCAGGAGGCTGAGACAGGAGGATCTTTATGAGTTTGAGACCAGCGTGGCCTACAAAATGAGCCGAAGACCAGTCTGAACTGCATAGTGAGACCCTCTCTCAAAAAGACAAAAATAAATGAATAAAACAAAATGAGACAGTAGACATCTTTTGCTAGAATGTCAAATAGTGAAGAGTTCTATGTAATTGAACATAAAAATTAAAACCTGTGAAGCCATGCAAAATGAAGGGAAAAGAGGAGCTGAGAAACTGACTCTAACAGCAATAATACAAAGGCTAGAAGATGATAAGAGGATCTATAACTTAAGAATGAAGAATGTAAAACAAGAAATAGGGACACAAACAA